TTTTGGGGATTTTCCTCTTATTTTAGGGGGATTTTCCCCTTTTTTGGGAATTTTCCACTTTTTTAGGAGACCCCTCCTCTTTTTGGGGAGACCCCTCCCCTTTTTGGGGAAGTTTTCCCCTTTTTTGGTGGAATCTTCCACTTTTTTTTGGGATTTTTCCTCTTTTTTAGGGGGATTTTCCCCTTTTTTGGGATTTTTCCCTCTTTTTTGGGAATTTTCTCTTTTTTTTACGAGGGTTTTCCCATTTTTTCTGAATTTCCCCACTTTTTTGGGAGACCCCTCCCCTTTTTGGGGAGACCCCCTCCTCTTTTTTGGGGTTTTCCCCTTTTTGGGGGGGATTTTCCCCCTTTTTAAGGAGAATTTCCCCTTTTTTGGAATTTTCCACTTTTTGGGGAGACCCCTCCCCTTTTTAGGGGATTTTCCTCTATTTGGGGGGATTTCTCTCCTTTTTTGAGGGGATTTCCCCCTTTTTTGGGGTGGATTTTCCCCTTTTTGGGGTGGATTTTCCCCTTTTTGGTCTCCCCCCCCTCGGGGGTCTCACTGTGCCCCCTCCCCATTTCCAGGGCAGCTACTTCGGCTCCGACGACCTCAAGGCTTTGGTGCTGCGGTTCCTCCAGCAGTGAGTGCCCAAAAAACCCAAAAAACCCCAAAATCCCCCCCAAAAAATCCCCAAATCTCACCTCAATCCCTTCCCCGAGAAACCCCACAAAGCCACCCAAAAAAACCTCCAAAAACCAACTCCCAAACCCCATTTTCCCCCAAAAATCCCAGTCTTCCCTCCAAAATTCCCCTTTTCTCCCCTTTTTCCCCAAAATTCCCATTTTCTCCCCATTTTTTCCCCAAAATTCCCTTTTTACCTCATTTTTTCCCCAAATCCCCATTATTTTTCCCCCAAATTCCAATTNCCCAAACTCCCATTATCCCCCCCCAAAATTCCCGTTTTTCCCGTTTTCCCGTGGTTTTGCCCCAGGTATTACTCCGTGTACGACTCCAGTGACCGCCAGGGGCTGCTGGACGCGTACCACGACGGCGCCTGCTGCTCGCTGAGCATCCCCTACGGCCCCCACACCCCCCCCAGGTACCAAAAACACCCAAAAGTGGGCAAAATACACCCAAAATACACAAAAACACACAAAAAACCCCACCAAAACCGGCCAAAATACACCCAAAACACACAAAAACACACAAAAAACCCCACCAAAACCGGGCAAAATACACCCAAAAATACACCTAAACTGGCCAAAATACACCCAAAGCCACCAAAACCGGGCAAAATACACCCAAAAATACACCCAAACTGGCCAAAATACACCAAAAATACACCAAAAATACACAAAAACACCCAAAACTGGCCAAAATACACCTAAACTGGGCAAAATACACCCAAAACACACAAAAACACACAAAAAACCCCACCAAAACCGGGCAAAATACACCCAAAAATACACCTAAACTGGGCAAAATACACCCAAAACCACCAAAACCGGGCAAAATACACCCAAAAATACACAAAAACACACAAAAAACCCCACCAAAACCGGCCAAAATGCACCAAAAATACACCTAAAATACACAAAAGCAGCCCAAAATACACCGAAAACAGCCCAAAATACACCAAAAATACACCTAAACTGGGCAAAATACACCCAAAACACAAAAAAACCCCACCAAAACCGGCCAAAATGCACCAAAAATACACAAAAAATGCACCAGAAGTACACAAAACCACACCTCAACTGGGCAAAATACACCCAAAACACACAAAAACACCCAAAAAACCCCACCAAAACTGGGCAAAATACACCCAAAAATACACTAAAAATACACAAAAACACACAAAAAACCCCCACCAAAACCGGGCAAAATACACCTAAACTGGGCAAAATACACCCAAAAATACACAAAAAACCCGCCAAAACTGGCAAAAATACACCAAAACTTGACAAAAATGCACCAAAAGCAGCCCAAAATACATAAAAAATACACAAAACCAGCCCAAAATACACCAAAAATGGCCCAAAATACACCAAGAACACTCCAAAAATACACCAAAACCAGCCCAAAGTACACAGAAATGGATGAAAATACACCAAAACCTGCCCAAAATGCACCAAAAAACCAGAAAAATACCTGAAGCAGCCTGAAACCAGCCCCAAATAAACCAAAACCAGCCCCAAAGCAGCCCAAAATATCAAAAAATACACCAAAACCAACCCAAAACACCCAAAAATACACCAAAGCAGCCCAAAACCACCCGAAAAGCCCCAAAGCTGCCCAGAAACCCCTCAGGAAAGGGGCTCAGAGCAGCCCCCCCTGCCCCATTAAAAACCCGTTAATTGCCCATTAATATGCCATTGAAATCTCATTAATTCCCTGTTAATTCCTCACTAAAACCCCATTAATTCCACGTTAATTCCCCATTAAAATCTCATTAATTCCCCATTCGTTCCCCTTTAATTCTCCATTTATTCCCCATTAATTCCCCATTTACTCGCCATTAATTCCCCATTAAAATCCCATTAATTTCTCATTAAAATCCCATTAATTCCCCATTATTTCCCCGTTAATTCCCCGTTAATTCCTCATTAATTCCCCGTTAATTGCCCGTTAATTGCCGTTACATTCTGGTTTCAGGAACAGCCTGAACGAGTATTTCAAGGACAGCCGGAACGTGAAGAAGCTGAAGGACCCCAGTGAGGGGAATTTGGGGAAATTTGGGGAAATATTGGGGAAATTTTGGGGAAATTTGGGAAAATATTGGGAAAATTTGGGGAAATTTGGGAAAATATTGGGAAAATTTTGGGGAAATTTGGGGGAAATTTGGAGAATTTTTGGGGAAATTTTGGGGAAATTTTGGGGAGATTTGGGGAAATTTTGGGAAGTTTGGAAAAATTTGGGGAAATTTTGGGGAAATTTGGGGAAAATATTGGGAAAATTTTGGGGAAATTTGGGCTTTTTGGGTTTATTTTTGTTTTTTGGGGGAGATTTTAGGGGATTTTTGAGGGGTTTTGAGGTTTTTTTTTGGGGCAGATTTTGAGGGGGATTTTTGTGGGGATTTTTGGGCCCTTTTAGGACATTTCTATGGGGATTTTGGGAGGATTTTTGGGAGGTTTTAGGGTATTTTGGGGGGTATTCCTGTGGGGATTTTTGAGCCATTTCAAGATGTTCCTGTGGGGATTTTTGAGGAGTTTTTGCAGGATTTTTGGTGTGGTTTTAGGCTATTTTTGGTGTGGTTTTAGGGGATTTTTTGCAGGATTTTTGGGTCATTTCAGGCTATTCCTGTGGGGATTTTTGAGCCGTTTCAGGCTATTTTTGTGGGGATTTTTGTGGGGATTTTTTGGCCATTTCAGGCTATTCCTTTGGGTACTTTTTGCTGATTTTCCCCAGGGTTTTCCCTGGGATCCCAGCACTATTTCCTGTCCTTCTGAGCCCTTTTTCCCTGGCAGCCATGCGCTTCAAGCTGCTGAAGCACACCCGCCTCAACGTGGTGCCTTTAGGGGATTTTTGGGGGGATTTTTGGGGGGATTTTTGGAAGGATTTTAGTGGATTTTTGGTGTGGTTTTAGGGTATTTTTGGGAGGGTTTTTGGTGTGGTTTTAGGGGATTTTTGTGGGGATTTTTTGGCCATTTCAGGCTATTCCTTTGGGTACTTTTTGCTGATTTTCCCCAGGCTTTTCCCTGGGATCCCAGCACTATTTCCTGTCCTTCTGAGCCCTTTTTCCCTGGCAGCCATGCGCTTCAAGCTGCTGAAGCACACCCGCCTCATGAGAGA